AAAAAAAAAAAAAAAAAAAAAGATGGCCTGTAGGGTCCCAAGCAGCAGCCTTGATTAGTGTCCAGAAGCAGAAGGAACACTGGAAGGGCAAATAAGAGCACCCCCAACAGAATCAGTCCCTCTTAAGGCACCCTTCCCAGGAGTCCCACACAATAGCTTCATGACTAACCATGCCCAGGACCTTGGCACAGGGCCCCACATGGCTGCAAGGGAAACTGGGAAGTGTAGCTTTTTATGGGTGCACTGAAGCCCTTAGTAAAATTAGGGCTATGCACTAAGGAGGAACAGGGTGGGTGGGGCAGGGCACTGGCAATGCCTTCTTCACCTGCTGAGACCTATTCTGTACCCAGCAAGGTCAGCTCAGACGAATGCAGCTGGTGGCCCCTGTACAGACCCATGTTGGGGCTGACAACTCACCAGATCTGCAAAGATGGTGAAAAAGAACACTCCCACTGTCTAAGTGCTCTGCACATGCTTTGTGAGAGAGCAAGAAGGAATCTTAGATTGCCCTAGTCTCAGTTGGAAACATCGGTAGAGTTTCTTTCAATAAAGAAAAAAAAAAGAGGATAATCTCTGGCCTTGCAAACACTGATGACAGATGGCTTTACCCACTGCTATTTGTGCTGCCCAGCCGAGCCCCTCCCCGTCTCACCAGAGCCTGCTGTGTGCATGAGACCCACAGTAAACCCAAGAAGCAACCACAGCTGGAAAATGCTGCCCACCCTTTTATAATGACACCACCCTAGAGCTACTTAAGGCATCATGGGGCCCAGTGGGAATCCTTGCTCTGGGGACTGCTAATGTGGCCATGCAGATAAGAATTCAACAGATGTATTCTCTGGGTTTAAAAACTCCAGGAAAAAGTGTATTTAAATACCACCAACAACAACAGCAACAAAAAACATTCTATGGACTCTGGACAGTTGGCTCAGAGACCACTGATACTGTTATGGTTATACCCAACAGCTGAGTCCAAATTCTCTAATGACAAATTTCTTTCAGAGATACCTGTTACACGGCAGGCACTGTACCTGGGCCTTTTCTCCTCACCATAACTCTATGGGAAAATTCTATTTTTGTCCCCATTTTATGGCTGAGTAAACTGAGGCAGAGCAGGTAGGCCAAGTTGCCCTAAGAATGAGGGGCAGAATAGGGGGTCAAACCCAGATGGACAAGACTGCAGCAACCCAGCCATCCTGTAGGATTACCCTGAAAATGGGGTGAGGGGCCTTGCAGCACTCCACCCGAGCTGTTGATGAGACCCGCTGGCAGGCTGTGGCTACATAATAGCTGTGCTACCCTGCAGCCATAGACAGTGACACCAACATTCAGTCTAGGGGCACCTGGAGATTCGTCCACTCAGAGCCAAAGGACTGACCCTGAGCCACCGAGAGAGACAGTGACAGACCAGAGTTGATGCTGGTGATTTCTAATATGTAGGAGGATAGGCAGGGCAGAAGCCAAGGAACATTGAGAATCTGGCCCTCCTGAAGTCAGCTAGACCAAGTGAGAAGCTATTAATAGCTGTGGGGATAAATAAGTACGTGACAAGCCCTGACAGAGAAGGATGGTCACTACAGTTTTACAAGAATCTGCAGCCCAAAGAGAGAAATGCAGTGTGTGCTGAGCTTCAGGATGAAACTCAAAAAATATCCACACTGCTGCCAAATGTGAACCCTGTGCCCCAGGACTCTTGACCACTGGTCCAGCTGCCAGCCTTAGTGTGAGGTGTTAAACAGAAGGATTCTCTCTCAAAAAGTTTCAAATGAGTCAAGGCTTTCCTCTAGACTTGTCAGTAACATCTTGAGAGCAGGTGTGCCACGGGTCAACATTGGAGGAAAAGTTTCCAAGGAAATACAGTTGGCTCTGGACCAGGCAAAGACAGGGAGGTGCATGTCAGGGGCCACAGTGGCACAATCTCATGCAGGCAAGAGCTAGGACTGAGCACACAGGTTGGTTACTGTACACAGGCAGCTATGGACTGCTGTACTCACTGATAATCAGACAGCAAAACTCAAAGCAATCCATTTAATTAACTTTTAAAAAAAGCACTGGTGAAAAGAACAATGACAGGACCACAAAAGTATAATTTAAGAGTGCACAGGTTTGTGTTCAAGCTACTCCTCAGGCAGTGAGAATGGGTGGCCATTTTTATCAGGGTCTCTTCTAAGAGACTTAGCTGGGAAATCCTAGCTGCAGCTGAGAGAAAGGGGGAGCTCTTTGGGGGATGGACAAGGTTAGAAGCCAAGGCACAGGAAATCTCAGCTTCTCCGGACTAAACCAGGGAGATCAGACAGAAAGAAGCCTGGTAAAGAAGCCTGGTGTCTTGACCACCAAGGAACAAGCTAGCCAAGGCCAACCTTACACAGAAGCAACATATGAATACTCATAGAGACATCTCTGGGGGCTCAAAGAACCCAAGCAGCCCCACCTGCACCTCTAACCTCCCCCATTTGCCATGGGATAACAATTTGAAGGCTCACAGTAAAATGTTAAGGTCACCTGGAAGTGATGTCAGTGAAACTGCTATGTTTCATTAGCACTCCATGTTGACTGCTCCAAGTAGCTAGTTTGACAAGTGAAATGACACCCAGTACAGGTAAGTTTTAATGTGGCAGAGAGGAGCTCAAGGAGTCCCAACAACAACCTCTCTACTAGATTGTCAGCATCTTGTTTACAGAAGAAAGCCCAGAGGCCACGCTCCGGTAGGTTCATATACTCTTCTAGCAAAGATGTGTTGAGCACTTACCACATTCCGGATGGACACTGTTGGTACCTGGGATGCAGCAGTGAACAGGTGAGCCCAGGGTGCAAGGCCCCCCAAACGCTTCCCCAACAATTGGCCTTCATGACCCAGCTCTCAGTCCTCCCTATCAGGAGAATTCCCTCCACTGTCACTTGTCCCTCCCTTCATTCAAGGCGCAGTTCTGACTCCACCACCCTCACCCAAGACCCTGGGATCAAACTCCTGCTCCCACCGTCTCTATTCCTGTGGAATGCACCTGCCATCACCACTCTTCTCCACCCTCCTGCTGCCAGACACATCTAGGGCCACAGCAGGAGTTGGGATGTCATGACATGAA